AGCTGATGTTCTAGATTTAGGAGACCTGGGTCAGCAGTGGATTACTTGTTGGGCTGCTAACAACAAGGCAGTAGATCAAACCCATAAGGCACTCCATGGGGTAAAGAGGAGGCTTTCTACTCCCGTAGAGAATTACAGTCTCAGAAACCCCACAGGGGTAGTTCTACTCTGTCCCTTAATGTCGCGATGAGTCAAAATTGACTTGATGGCAGTGAGGAATGTTCTAGATTAACCAGCTATCCTCTGCTGGCTGAACAGTTAGACCAGGTAGTGCCTCCAGGTTGTGGTACAAGATGCTCCAACTCCTGCCTTCCTCAGACCCCGTCCCGAGTGCTCCTTCCCTGAGCCTTCTCTGGTTTCCTCTAGCCTCCTGGACCATCTCCAATTGGACGTGGCTGCAAGGGCCACGAAACCCTCGTACTTCTGAGACCCACACCTGGCACTGGTTTGCCAGTGATTCCAGGACACTGGGGAGTCGGTAGAAGAATTCTCCCCTTGGATGCGGGAGACGGGGCTGATGCTCAGCCGATGCATCTCTGCACAGTCGCTGCTCGTCTGTCAGTGGGGGCCTGCTTCTTGTTATGATGCTGAGCTTCCTGTCAGCAGAGCTTCTAGGGTAAGATGGGCTAGGAAGACAGGCCAAAAGATATGTAAGCCTAAAGCTAGGCATTTGAGAAGTAGCCAAGGACACACCTCTGAATCACCACCGTTCAATCCTACTGCGTATGGAGTCACCATGAGTTGAGGGGTCAGCCTGCACAGGCAGCTAACAACAACGTGCCAGTAATTTGACGATCTTTTTTCTCCCTCTTAACCAACATTAGCTGAGCATCTACTACATAGTCTGCCACTGTGCTGAGTGCCTGAGAAGCAGGAAAATGAATAAAGTCAAGGTTCTAATCTCCAAGGGGTTTACAGTCTAATGGATGAAATGATGCTATGACTATCTCATCCATTAGACAATCCGATTAGACAGCTCATTACAATGCTAGAGTGATATGTGCTCAGGTGAAGGAAGCCTTCACAGACCATCTTACATGATGATGTAAGAGAACATGGCATTTAAGTTGGTGCTTGAAAAGAAATTAGTTTCTTAAGGTGGAGAAAAAAGAGTAGAAGAGAGTTTTTCTAGGTAAATCATAATCTGAACCTTGGCAATGGTGTGGCTCTGTGTTGAACTAACTACGAATTTCAAGGCCAACAGTTCAAAACCACCACCAGTTCCTAGAGAAGAGGAGGAGGTTTTCTACTCCCGTAAATAATTACAGTCTCAAAAACTCTAACCTGTAGAGTCACGAGGAGTCAGAATCGAGGCCAGTGCAGTGAGGGGTGTAGCAGCGCTTGACACAGGGCTTGGATGGACACGCAAAACTAGGGAGTAAATGAAACAAAGAGCTCAAGATGAAGGCACTGCTGTAGCCCCCTCTCAGCTATGACAACCAACAGTTACAAAGTGCCTACGTGATTTCCATCTCTCGCACACCACCACACCCACAAGTTCATCGTCGTCATCGTCCAAGTGAGGAAAATAAGGCTCCCAAGGCCCCAAAACTACTACCAGGCAGAGCCAGGCCTCCAACCCTGCCTTGAGCCTCTGATAATTTAGGGACGTGTGAATGAGTTCATCTCCAAGGTCCACCTTGTAGCGCACACTCTTGACTGACTCCCTCCCTGCAAGCCTGAGCGGAGACCAGGGGGCTTCAGGTCACCAGAACCGGGAGAGAGGAGGAGAGCAGTAGGTAAAACCATGCTCTAGGAAAATTCTGGGAACAGTGGGGCCTGTGCCTCCCTAAGGTCCCAGTATTGGTCTCGGGCTGTTTCGTCTTAGAAACCCAAAAGGAGGTCCTTTTTCCCTAATCTACAAATGCCGACCAGGAGAGAGCCCCCTGCAAATTGCCTGAGGCCCCTCAGCCTCTGAAAGCTAAGGCTGGGCTCAGAGGATTGCACAGGCGCTCCGGCTTCCTGGGACCCTGCAGTCAGGTTTTGATGGGAGCTCTTTCCTCCCTTTTCTTCCTCTGATCATCTTCTCAATTTTCCCTTCTCCAGTTCAGGCTTTTTCTGTAACACTTGTTGTATTGGGCTCAGGCTTCCCCACCCCCTTCTTCTTCTCCTAGCTGAGACTATTATATCTTGGTATTATAGCGTGCCTTTTCCATGGAAAGCAATCAAAAATGAAAATCCACATTTCGGAACAGTAGCTATTAAACACGCAGCCTTTTGTTGTGGATTAAAAAGAAAAGGAAGAAGGGATGAGGGTTGCTATTCAGCCCTGGTTACACCTGGAGACTGCACACATACGCCATTTGAGTGTTGGTCCTTGAGAACGAAAGCAGAAAGTCTAAGGCCAGAATCCACTTATGTTAAAGAATTTTTTAGTCCAGTGCTCAATGTCTTGCTAGTCAAAGTCTGGCCCGTGGCCCAGGAACAAAAGCCTTGTCAGGATGCTGGTTCGAAATGCAGAATCTCAGGCCCTACCCCAGACCACCTCAATCAAAATCAGCCTTCCCCAAGATCCCCCCCGCCGCTTCCTCCAGGTGCCCTGTGCGCAAGATCAAGTTTTAGAAGCCCCTCGCTAGAGAACTTGAAAGTGAATTGGCTTCGATTCCATCCTGGAGCGTCTGTGAGGGTTTTATTTTTCCCTCTCTGCAGAATGAATATTTCTGTATAATGAACTTCATAGATGCTATTTTACTCATAGAAGGATTCTGAAATGCTAGCTTCCAGAAGCCAGTGTCAGCCTCCAGAGCCTTTCGGAAGCATCAGAGAACCCTCAAAGAGCAAGCTCTGGAGCCCAGACCCGAGAGGTGATTCTTACTCCTGCCACCTCTTTAAGGCTCTGGGGTTTTTTGGTTTTGTTTTAGTTGTTTTGCTTGACATCTTCCCTCTGGGAAGAAAAGGATAGAAGGCGTGCTAGATGATGCCTAGTAGTGTCCTGGTTATACAAGGGGCTGCTAACTGCAAGGTCAGCAGGTAGAAACTAGCTGCTTATGGGAGAAAGACGAAGCTTTCCACTCCCATAAAGATTTACAGCCTTGGACACCCACAGGGGAAGTTCATCCTGTATAGGGCCACTAGGAGTCTGAATCAACTCAATGGCAATGAATTTGAGGTGCATTTAAAAAAAATTTTTTCAGTTTGTTTTTAATAGGGGAACCACAAAGAGGCCTGACAGTGCTGTCGGACTAACTGCAAGGTCGGTGGTTCAAACCCTTCAGTGCACCTCCATGAGAGAAAGATGAGACGGTGTGCTCCCCTGTAGATGTAGTCTCAGAAATCCTATTGAGGGTGGCTTGGAGTCAGAATAGACTGGGGGGCAGTGGGTTATTCAGTTATTACATGAAGCTCACGGGCGACTGACATGAGGAGGGGTCCAGGCTGGGCACTGAACTCTAAGATCCTGCAGGAGTCTGCTCTGGAAACACAAGTGCAAGGAGCCCGGAGCACAGCCTGCAAATCCGGCAGGGCTCCATTCAGATCTCACGCAGCTGGTACGAACTGTCCAGAGCTCGGAGAATGAGCCCTGCTAGATATTAATCTATCATCTACCTTGGGAAGTGGACCGAGAGAACAGAAAAGCACACGGACCTGGTTTGAGGAAAGAAAGCCAGAACTGAGAGATGAAGGAAGAGAGGAGGAGATGAATCAGCTCTCCATTCAGCCCTGCCCACCCATGCCCACCCCCCACCCTCCCCCACCCACCCCCAACCATGAAGCAGAATGCATGTCCAGGACAAGCAGGCACAGCACGCTTTCGGGCTACACAAAACTTGGCCTTGTCTTTTACAAGGAGAAAGCCTGACTTCAAGCATTTCCCTGAAGGTGAGTACCATGTTACAAACCAAGAACCAGGTCCCCAGCAGAGTGTTTCCTCACTAATTTTGACATCACAACAAGCCCCGCCCAGGCAGACTGCTAAATGCCAGGCCTGTCTTATTGATTGCCCTGTGTGAAAGCCAGCGGACAGGTGATCCCCCGCCCCCACTCCTTCCCATACTCTGCCACATGTATGTTTTCAAGCCCACCCCCAAACGCTTGATTTATCTCCACCAATACTTGTTTTCCAATTGTGTGCAATATAGTTGCATAGTAGCAGTATTCATGGTTAAACGGTGTGCACGGTCCGTGTCCACACCGACCTCACAGGAAATTGGGAATGGGCCTCAATGACGGGCAGCGATAAGGAAAGAAGGTTGGGAGACTCTACATTTCGACCGAAGCTCCAGCTGCCTTCCACAGTCCAAGGATACCCCTTCCTCCAGAACCAAGTATGTTATAGATTAGACGCCTCTGGCGGCTGAGGCTATCAATTTCATTCCAGCTAATTTCCCAGTCGTGGAAGAGCACTTGACTTCCCCCTCCCCTGTAAATCAGACCTGGATAGGCCAAGCCATCTTCCAGACACACCACCGAAGGGAAAACTCCTCTCCCCACCCTCCACATGCGCAGGCATGCTGGCACACACCACTGTCGGGGAAACGAAGAGAAAAAGTTAACTTTCCAATAAACCTGCCCTGTTGTTGATTGCCCCCATCCCACCCCCACCTTCCCCACAAGCCATGTTTTTAGACCCTTCCCGGTCGCAAAGGTAGTTCTCGCAACAACTGCTTCAGTACAGGTGGGGATATCTGACCGACCTCGGAGGGCAAGGGCAAGGGTCAGACGTGTACATATTAACCACAAACACTCCACTCCCCCTGCTAAAGTGAGAACAAGGTGGCAGGCTTTGTCTTTCCTTTCCAGAAGCCGGGTTCTGCGGCCAGAGGGGTGGTGGGGCTCCAGCCACAATGGAGGTGGGCGAATGTATGCGGATTTCAGGGCACCCCCCTGTTTGGGTGAGGGTGGCTTTAGGCTGGGACACAGGAACCCTAGGGCTCTCGGCCACCCCAAAGTCTGTGTGCATGTGAGGGGGCAGGGCTCTCTTGCCAGCACAGCTTCGCGTCTCTGCCGCCGCCGCCACCAGGGCTGTCCCGGGTCCTCAGCGCCACAACGGGGTCACTTACCCCCCGTGAGCTGTGCAGGGCCGAAGCACAGCGCCAGCTGAAACCACAGGATCACGGCCAAAAGTCTCTGGGGGGACTGAAGCTGCTGCTGCGGCTGCTGCTCTAGAAATCCATCTCCAGGGTTCGGGTTCATTCCATGATACATCTTTCATCCACAGAGGGCATCCGGCTTGCAAGAGTCTGCAACCAGGAGGGAACACGACAATGCCCCCGGCTGCTGCTGGGTTCCAGGGCCGCGCTCCCTCTCCTCCGCCCGGGGTCAGGCCCCCCGGCTCCCGGGTCGCCATGCCCGCTCCTCCCCCGCGCGGCCCCCGCCCCCTTTCCCACGGTGAGCTCCCCGGCCCCCGGCCCCCGCACGGGTACATTGAGTAGCAGCATCCGTGGGATGCTGCGCGTGCAGGAGGGATGGAGGAGGGGAGGAGGGCAGGGAATCGCGCACATTGGCTCTGCGCCGGTCCCCGGGAATTCACGGTTGTGACTGTGGCACCAAAGTCTACAGCCTTCCAGCACCCCGGGCTTGTGCAACCACTTTTCCCTGGGCCTACACCTTTCACTCTGGCCGATCCCACAATGGGGCACGGATCCCCCCGCCACTTCTCTGGCTCTCTCCAGGATCGGCAGAGGTCCTATGGCTACCATCCCCGAAGAGCCCTCTCTGCGCGGTGCAAAAACCCCTTGCTTGGGAAGCCCAAACAGCCACCAACTCCCTCTCGCCGGCCTGCGCGCCCCTCCGCGAGATGGAAAGCCCCTTCCGGGGTTCTTGGGCTTACCTGTAGGTTTCATGCATGCAGCTTCCTTTCCTCCTCCGCCTCCTCCCCGCGCCAGGCTCACCCGCATCTGTGCGCGACCTCTATTACCACCGCGGCGCGAGCCAGCGAGCGAGCGAGCGAG